TCAGCCTCCCAAGTAGCTGGGACTACAGGCATGCACCACCATGCCTGGCTAATTTTTGTATTTTTAGTAGAAATGGGGTTTCACTATGTCGTCCAAGCTGGTCGTGAACTTCCGACCTCGTGATCTGCCTGCCTCAGCCTCCCAAAGTTCTGGGATTACAGGCATAAGCCAACACGCCCCGCCTATTCTAGGAACTCTTATTTACTCTTTACTCATATTAATTGGGTACCAATTATTCATCAGGAACTATTAGACTTGGGGATAGAATTCTGAATAAGTCAGCAATGACCCATAATCTCACAGGGTTAATAACCTAGTGTAGGATTTAGACAATTTTAGAGACCATTAGACTGAGAGGGAAAGTACAGAGTGATCATAGCATGTGAAAGGAACACCTAACCTGGACACTGGGAAGGTTGGGAAAGGCTTCATGGAGAATGTGATCTCTAATCTGAGGCTGGAGGATGAGGAGGAATTATTAGATGATTTATGTGTGGGCAGACTGAATAGTGTGGAGAAATACCTAAGCAGGTGAAACACCAAGGCAAATTAGGGAAACTAACAGTACTTCTGTGTGTCTGAATCATAAAATTCAAGTTAGGAATAGTGAGCAACAAGGTGGAAAAAGTAGGGAGTGGGAGGCAGAAAATGTTTCCATGTAAAAAAGTTCCAGCTTTATTCTGGGAGTCCTTGAAGATTTGAACCACAGAAAAATAACATCAACATTATATTTCAAATTTTCACCCTGGCTTTAGAGTAAAAAATGAATTGGAGGTGGGAACAAGCCTGGAATAGAGATAACAGGAGATTGCTGGAGTCCAGGTCAGAGATAAATGTGGTCTTGGGAGTAGGAAATGAGTGAAGGAGCAGATTTCCAAACTATTTAGAAGTTAGAGCCATAGATCGTTTTTTGTTTTTGTTTTTTGTTTTTTTCTGAGATGGAGTCTCTGTTGCCCAGGCTGAAGGGCAGTGGTGTGATCTTGGCTCACTGCAACCTCCACCTCCCAGGTTCTAGTGATTCTCCTGTCTCAGCCTCCCGAGTAGCTAGGATTACACGTGTGTACCACCACACCCAGCTAAGTTTTGTACTTTTAGTAGAGACGGGGTTTCACCATGTTGGCCAGGCTAGTCTTGAACTCCTGTCCTCAAGTGATTCACCCACCTCGGCCTCCCAAAGTGCTGGGATTATAGGCATGAACCACCAGACATGACCAGATCTGTAGGTATTAACAATGAGATGAGCATCAGGGAACACATAAGACCTGGAGGCAGAATAGCAATGATTAAGAATACGTATTTTAAATCTGGATAGACAAAAGTTCAAACCCTCTATCACTTAGGATTTAAAGCATAGTTAATTACCAGTTAAAAAGAGACACTAATACCTATCTAGCATGGTTGCTTTGCAAATAAGTACAATATTATATGTTAAGTTCCTGGCACAGTATAAAGCTTTGATAAATTATAACCAGTTTGATTCCATGGTTCTGTCTAAGGGAACTTGTTGGATGGGAAAAGCTATTCATTAAGTGTAGCAGTTAGGTATGTACTGGCTGCAAATAACAATAAAATTGTCCCATAGCAGTTTAAACAATATGGGTTTCTTGCACAGGAGGTGGACAACTGTTGGCATTAATTTATTCAAGACTGGAGATGGTTGCCCCAGTTCCAGACTCTAGCACCATATTTACATTTAGTTGGAGTTGAAGGGAACTGGGCATAAGAGAAAGGTAACAGTTCTGTTAATTATCTTGAGATGGGGAACACAGGAGGAGAAGTGGAATTTGGTGCTGAGGGGGTTGAGGAGGAATAATTAACTTGTATATACTGAGTTCAGGTTCTGTAATAAATCCATCCATAGAAACAGGTTTAATTAGGTGGGGTTGGTGGCCTGTCCCTGTAGTCCTAGCTACAGAGGAGGCTGAAGGAGGAGGATTGCTTGAGCCCGGAAGTTTAAGGCTTCAGTGAGCCATAATCATTCCATTGCATTTTAGCCTGGGCAACAGAGTGAGACACCCTCTTCAAAAACAAAAACAAAAAAATCAAAAACAGGTTGAGTAGGCAGTTGTATATATTGGCCTGCAGCTAAGGAAAAATGTCTGGTATTGAGGGGCATGGTTGAATTCTTTAGGGTGAATGAGAGAATCCACAGAAAGAGTGTAAAGTGAGAAAGAAGGAAGATCAGGCCATATGAATGCCAACACTGATGGGGTGAGAAGAGACAGAGAACCTACCAGAGAAGAAAGAGCTAGAGAGTGGCTAGAGGGGCAAGAGGAAAGTGTAGAGCTTGCGGGGTCCCGGAAACCTAAAGGAGAAATGATTTAAGGAGGACACTGTCATTAATTTCAAGGGCTACTCAAAAAACAGTAAGTGACCTTGCCCAGAGCTTTTCCTGTTGGGAAGGGGCAGAAGCTAGAGTTGAGTGGGTTGAAGAACACTCAGGGACACGAAAAAGTAAAAAGAACAAATATGAAAGTGTTTTTTTTCTTTGTTTTCAGAGCTCATTTAAAAAAATTTACTTTAAATTTTGGGATATGTGTGCAGAATGTGCAGGTTTGTTACACAGGTATACATGTACCATGGTGGTTTGTTGCACCTATCAACCCATCATCTAGGTTTTGAGCCCCAGATGCATTAGGTATTTGTTCTAATGCTCTCCCTCCCCTTTTTCCCCACCTCCCAACAGGCCCAGGTGTGTGATGTTCCGCTCCCTGTGTACATGTGTTCTCATTGTTCAGCTCCCACTTACGAGTAAGAACATGCTGTGTTTGGTTTTCTGTTCCTGTGTTAGTTTGCTGAGAATGATGGCTTCTAGCTTCATCCATGTCCCTGCAAAGGACATGAACTCATTCTTTTTCATGGCTGCATAGAATTCCATGGTGCATATGTGCCACATTTTCTTTGTCCAGTCTATCGTTGATGGGTATTTGGGTTGGTTCCAAGTCTTTGCTATTGTAAAGAGTATCAGAGCCCATATTTTGTGATGTCCCTTGTAACTACTTTTTAAAGGAAAGACTGGGAAAATCAATTTGCATTTCAGAAGGGAATCAAACTGAGGATGACTATCTGGCCCTTGTGACCTTCAAAGGATCTCTTCCAGTGCCACAATCTCTGATTTCATTGTCCGTACTTCATTGATAAGTCACAAATAAAATCACTTGATGCCTTTGGCTTCTAGGGAGCGTGGGTTGTGTAAAATGTTAATTGTACCACAGGTCCTTAGATAATGCCATTTTATTCAACATTGTTTCATGACAACATTGATGAGGAAAAAAATCTATTTCCAGCTGCGGGGCCACTGTATGTATGGAGTCTGAATGTTCTCTCCATGTCTGTATGGGTTTTTTCCAGGTCCTCTGGTTTCCTGCCACAACCCAAAGCTCTGCTTATGAGGTAAACTGGCATGTCTAAATGGTCCCCCTCTGAGTGTGAGAGTGTGTGTGTGTGTGTGTGTGTGTGTGCGCGCGCACCTTCTGATGGGCTCTAAGCTGCAGGGAGAGGCTCAAGCCACCGGAGACCCTGAATTGGAATAAGTGGATTGGAGGAGGAATAAACGTATGGATACAAATTATTGACAGGTAAAAATTCGTAAAATATATGATAATCACACAAATGCAAGACAACAAATGATATTGTATGAAATTGCTCAGTGAGCCTGCTATATTTGCGATGGTTTTGAATTGTGTTGTGACAGGTGGTACTCCTTATAATTTTCTCTTTGCAAACGTTTATTCCTTGATTGAATCCACTACCACTACAGCTGCTCTCACTCACTGATTCACCAAAACTTGGGTCAATGATTATCTTGGTTTTATTAATATTTCTTATATGCATGTATAGCTGACATTTATTTCCATGTTTAATATTAGAAGTGTTTAAATCTTTATTTAGAAGTTTGGCAATGTCTTGTTTTTATCAATTGGTCTATGGTAAAATTGGTTTTAAAGTCACAGTTTCCATGAACCTATTTGTGACGTTTTAAGTGAGGACTTACTGTTTATAGAGCTTCTTAGTGCTGCAACGGGCAGCGTGTCGGAAATCACTTTTGTCTGGTACCACAAGTAACACAAACTAACTTTCCCAGGCTCTTCTTTATTTTTAGTATGTTTTTATGTGGATGAACATTATGGAAAATAAAAGCATTATGGGAAAATTAAAATGTCCCATTTGTACATTTTTGGCAGATTGCATTCAGATTTAAAACATTTAAATATTTGGAATATACAAAATCTACTTTTATATTGGACCACTCAGATTCATGACACGTGATGACAAACTATAAAAATAAACCTATAGGTGACATTGTACATTCTATGCAGTTGACTAATTGTTGGGTTTAGGTTTAAGAAGATCAGCAGGAAGAAAGAAAACACGTTAAAATTTAACATACCCAAATCCATGCAATATATGTAGTTATAAGAATGTAGTTTCCAGGAGAAAAATTTATATTCATTCTCTCTCTTTCTCTCTCCCTCTCCCTGTCTCTTCTCTTCCCCCTTCTTTAAATAGATGGTTCAGAAAAGTACTTTTCAGAGTTGTAGGTTTTAAAAAATATGTGATTTCTTTGGTTTCCTCTTATAGCATTAATTCAGCAGGCTGCAGACAAAAAAGTAGTAATTTAACTCACTTTAACTCTTTTTTATCTATTCCGTTCATAAATGTGGCAATTCTCAAAACATTTATTTGAGAGACTCTAATCCTCTAGTAGTTGAATTCCCAACGCTCATATTTTAGGACATCACTCGTGGTGTGGAGATTAAAACTTCACGTGTCCTTTACTATTTACAGAATTATTAAATGAAAGGTTTTCAATCATACTCGTACCTTTAACTGCTTGGATTTAATCTATTAGTGCCAGGGAACTTTGCTCTCCCTTCCGTCCTCCTTTCCCTTATCTCGCCCCACATGGGGACATGTTCTTGTGTGTGAGGCTGCTTTCCTTTCCCTGAAGGTGGGCCGAGCAAACGAGAGTGACGCAAGAGTGGGCTGTGCCCTGGATGCTTCGAGCGCCTCTGCCGCCTTGAGAGTGAGCCCATTAGCCGCACAAATTCGCAGCGGGCGTCCAGGGCAGCGGTCGCAGCAGCGGCGGAGGCTCTGCACTCCAGAGTCTTGCGTCCTCAGCAGGCGCCCGAAGCTGAGTGCGCATCCTCCACCGCACCCAAGCTTCGTCTGTTTTTTCAAGCTCTACATGCTGCCCAACTAAAAGGAAAATATGGGCACAGGGGATTTTATCTGCATTTCCATGACTGGAGGGGCGCCCTGGGGGTTCCGATTGCAAGGTGGCAAGGAGCAGAAGCAGCCCTTACAAGTTGCAAAGGTAGGACCTGAAAGAGGTATCGCGGCTCTGTGCCGGGAAGGAAGGAATGAGAAAGCAACCTGTTGATGGTGTTTTCAAGTTCTGATGCAGAAGTCTATGTATTAGTTTGATTTTGCTGCGGACATTAGATTTTTCTAGGATGTGAGTTGTTTTCTAAGAAACGTTGGAGAGAAATGGACCACATCCTACGTAATTAACTTGCAATTGATGAGGAGTGGGTGGGAAGAACGACATATTTATCAGCTGAGGAAAAGGCCTAGTTAATCATGTTCTTTTGACAACCAGCAAGACGCTAAGGAGCGTTTCTTCCAGGCAATATTAGAATGTTTAGTTGAGTTTTTGTTTCATGTCACTTCACTTGGCTCTGGCAGAGAAGAAAGGCTCAGCTCAGCATAACTATTTTACTTGGCTATTTTGGGGACGCTTATACAGTGTTGGTAGTGACATTTATTATGCAGCATTCATGAAAAGACCAATTTTGGGCAATAATTTAAAAAGTATGATGAAATGTCATAAAACCTAAAAGAGTACCCTGTTAAGGATTTGACAAATAAGTGCAAAAATGCAAGTGCTGTATTCCTTCTCACATATTCTTTTGGTCAAGATATCAAAAATAAACTTAGAAGATAATCTGCATATATTAGAACTAAGAGGTAACTTGGTAACGCATCTAATAACTATCTAAGTGCTTTATGTTTTTGTTGCCATTAGATTGGCTGCATCGCCAGTTAGCCCAAGGGGATCTGGTATTCCCTAATTGGCAATCAGGTAAAATGAAAATTAAAATGCACAAAACGAAGCAGACTTTTACCTGACGTTATCATCAAATTGCAAATTATAGTATTGCATTGAAGAACATGCAAAAGCATAGGATTAATTTCCTATTTTATGCTTATATTAAAAATCGGCATAGATCTTTATGAAATACATGGGCCACTGCCTTTGTAGTTATTGTTTCCCTTTGGCTTTTACTTTTTTTTTTTATGTCCCTTGTGAAGAAAGAAGTTTCCTTAAAACTTCTTTTTCCTTCCAGGCATCCATCTGAAAATCCTTTTGTAATGTGATGGTGGAATCCTGCCACCTAGTGAAAATTGCAAACATCAAGAATGAAGCATAAAACAATAGATGGAAAGCATAGTTTTTAATAACTGGAAAGTTCCTCCGGGGTCTCTAGTTCAACCTATGAATTTTAGATGAGGAAAGAGCCCAGAGATGTTAAGTAACTTGCCTTGAGTTTTCACCTTGGAACTGGCAGAGTGATTAAAGGCCCAGAAAGGTGATTTTGTTGGATTTCTTTAGGAGTCAATAGCAGGCAACCTCAGATAAAATATGAATGCCCAATTTAGCATATGTAGAATTCATGACACTGAAGCAGATTTGTCCTGAGTCTAGAATAGCAGTTGGCTAGCTCTAGTTATGAGATTTGAGATTTGGGTTCTAATTCCAGCTCTGATCTAACTTGCAGGCTGGCCTTAGGAAAATCTCTCACGCTTGCTGTCTCATCTGGGGTGTGTGTGTGTGTGTGTGTGTGTGTGTGTGTGTAGGGAGAGGAGAGACAAAGATTTTCACTTAGGTAGTTAAGAAGTAAGCAAGAAATTGGACTGTGCAATCTACAAAGCTCTGTCTTGCTCAAGTATTCTACAATCCTGATAATGTACAGTTTTAGAATCACTTGTCTACTAATTGAAATACGGGGACAGAAGTGGCTGAGTGCTGTTGTTCTCTGGTGGCTCTTTGACAGCCAGGCCTGAAGAGTAGAGTGTGTATTGGGTTCCTTCTGAGTTCTCCATGTGCTGATTTCAATGTGGAGTCTCATTGTGGCAATTCACTGAAGAGCTAAGGCAGATCCCTAGGAAAGGGTGCTGTGCAGGAGTTTCTCCACTAATGGCATCTCTATTGCCAGGATTCAGTGAGGTTGTTAGGCTATGTCAGAATCCAGTCCTCCACTCCCCCCAAATCATCCTTCCTAAAACACCCAACAATATATTTGTGGTTTTCAAAAGATCATTATTAAAGCATCTAGATGTTTGCTTTGCTTTTGTAGTTTGTGATACTATAGTTAGAGCTATAGATTTTAAAATATCATTATGAAAATATCTGTAAGTTTGCCTTAATTCCTGTGTGTTTGTGTTCGTAAGAGAGACAGAGAGAGAGAAAGACCACAGTCTCTAGTCTACCTTTTGTCCATATGTTAAAAAGACTAAAGAGCTGTCTCAAGTAGATGTAAGTTCTAAATTACTGTTTCAATGCACATTTTTGATGATCTTTTTCTTTCTTTCATTTTTTTTAATTCAAATGATTATATTCAATTTCTTATACTAGCATTATTTGTGGTAGAAATCCCTTGGAACAAAATGCTTATCACTTTCTCTGTTATCAAGGCCATTGCCTCACTAGGATAACTGTATTTTATTTAAAACATCAATTCAGTTCTAGTCATGGTATCTCACTGAGTTCAAGGCAAAGCGAGTGTTCCCTGGGCATAGACTTTCTCTTCTTGTAAGGACCGGTCATAGCTTATCAGGGCTGGATGCAAGGAAAGAAAATGCCGGAGAGATGGCTGCTGTCAAATCAAATGCTCACAGTTTTGAAGAATATGCATAGAATTAATTTGAGAGTTGAAAGAAAATTAAAATTTTCAAAGAAAAGAAAATTTCAGTGAGTGCTTGAAATATGACCCTTAAAATGGGAATTCTACAAAGCAGTTCTGTAGACAATGACATATTTTGGCATGTTGTGAAATACATAAGTATTTAGATTTTTCATAATTCTGTACAGAGTAAAACTCTAACAGGCTGAAATAGTGCAAAAATACCGAGTTTAATGTTATTAAGAATAATCAGAAACTGAATGACTTTGTAATTCCCAATAAATATCCTTATAGTGACATATTTAGTCACTTTTGAGATATGTTCAAACATGTTTAGTTTTTGGTTAGCTGGTTGAACTATATACAAACCCCAAATTTAAAAGATAAATAACAGAAATATGTATTATCAAAACTTGTCATTGAGATTTAAGCTCAATGACATAAAATCTGTTTTGTTTTAAAAAATAAACTGCATTTTTAAAAGGCCCAAATAATCAGTAACATAAGCTTGTATTTTAAAATGTTTATATATCTTTTAATTTATATTCCAAATATATGTGATGGGAAGCAAACATTTCTAACACTGAGTTATAGCATAATACTTTGCAAAGTATATTTTCAAGAGATTATACACAGAAACAAATTTATCCAAACAGAAAACCCCACTGTGTGTGCAGATAGCTTTACAAAAAGAATGTGAGCACTTCTGCTTTACAAAACTCTGTCATTTGCGACATGTACTTACCTGGCTCTGCCTCCGAACATGCTTTTGGCAAATCACTTTGGAAAATCTTCATATAAAGGAGTGGGAAGAAATTTTTGTTTTATAAAATATCTTACCTGCAATTGAAAAATTACTCACATTTTGAAAATAATTATGAAAAAAGTTCAGACTGTTTATCCTTTATATTTTTAATATAGTTATATGTTTTAATATAGTCAGAAATTTATTTTTTCTTCAAACCTTATACTCTGCTGTAGTATGTACCGCTAGAGTATGTATTAGTATGTTTTAATTTAGTTCAAAGTTTCAAATAATTGTTCATTAAAATTGAGGTGACACAGTATAATCCTTCATTTCATAAGGCCAAAATTGATTTAATAATTCTTATCAATGGTTAAGCTATAAAAAATGATAGGATTTGATTTTTCTTCTTCCTCCTTGGTGGAAACAGGTGCCTGAGAGAATAAAACTGGGTTGAAGTTGTCCCAAAAGGAAAGATTATTTTCTTTAAATACCATAGTTTTTGTCCAACCCTGATTTAATTGATCTAGAGTTCATCCTGGACATCAGGATTTATAAATATTCTGAAGGTAATTCTGATGTGTGGTCAAGATTCACAACCGCTGCTATGGAAAGTTGAGGCCAAAAAAATTCTGATTCTCCTGCACAGTACGGTGACTACAGTTGATAATAAGGTATTGTAAATTTCAAAATAGCTAAAAAAGAGGAGTTTAAATGTTCTCATAACAAAGAAATGATAAATATTTGAGGTGATGGATATGTTAATTAGCCTTATTTGATAAGTCCACAATGTATCTGTGTATCACTGCTTCTCATTGTATCCTGTAATATATACAACTATTATTTGTCAATTAAAAATAAAACAAAACTTAAAAAAAGAATATAAGTACCACATACTAACCAATTGCACACACATATGTTTATTGTGGCACTGTTCACAATAGCAAAGTCTTGGAACCAACTCAAATGCCCATCAGTGATAGACGGGATAAAGAAAATGTGGCACATATATACCCTGGAATACTATGCAGCCATAAAATGGACGAGTTCATGTCCTTTGCAGGGACATGGATGAAGCTGGAAACCATCATTCTCAGCAAACTAACATAAGAGCAGAAAACCAAACACCACATGTTCTCACTCATAAGTGAGAGTTGAATAATGAGAACACATGGAGAGGAACATCACACACTGGGTTCTGTCAGGAGGTGGGGATCTAGGGGCGGGATAGCATTAGGAGAAATACCTAATGTAGATGGTGGGGTGACTGAGGAAGCAAACCACCATGGCACATGTATATACCTATGTAACAAACCCACACGTTCTGCACATGTACCCCAGAACTTAAAGTATAATAAAATAAAATAAAATTTAAAAAAGAATATATATATGATTATATATTATATATATTTTGCTGGTTCATGAAATTATCATCATCGATCATCTAAGATTCTTTACTACTCTGTCCTATAATTGTCATGAAAATTCAAGAAGAGGTTAAAAAAATAATAAAGTTGAGGTCAGATAGGTCCCCACAGGGCTTACTGAGGGGCGGTGGCACAATATGTCCTCTCTGCCCTTCCCCCTGCCCCTCTCATAGTCAGCTTAAGAGGAAGACCAGAGACAGGCTAATTATTTTCCGAGTTTTTGGCACTGTGAGCAGGT